TGTTGTCAGAGAGCTTCTGTCCCGTGTGTGTTCCTGCAGTGCTGAGGAACTGAACTGACACTCCTCGTGAGGTCTCTCGTCTTCTCCCCAGGGCAATGGATGCGCAGTGAAGTGTCTGGTAGGCTTCTGGTGCTCAGCTTTTGTTTAAGCGTTGTGATGCTGTGGGTAGAAGTTAGGAAAGGCAAGTCACAGGGAAGCACCTGGTGATTGGAAGCAAATGAGGGTGAGGTTTGTGGCTGCTTTTCTTCTGAGCCACCGGCATGACTGTGGTGCTGAGCTCTAGGAGGTCGTGCAGATGATGCTGGGCTCTGGGGAAGACCTGCAGAGCACAGAGGACAGCTGTGGTGAGCTGCGCTCTGCTGGGAGGCTCCCAAAGTGCTCTGCCCCATCAGAGCCTCCCAAATGCTGCCAGTTTCGTGGCCAAGATGGCTGTTGTTTGCCTGGATGGCATCAAACAGAGGGCAGGGAAAGAACAGGCCAGTCAGGGTAATGCAAAGTGTGTGGGACCATGCAGGAGGGACTCAAAGATATCCAGCTCTTCAAGTTGGAGGTTAGGAAGAATTTCTTCTTTGAAAGAGCAGTGCTGCACCGGCACAGGCTGCCCAGGGAGTGGTGGGGTCACTGTCTGTGGAGATGTTCCAGAACCATGCGGATGTGACAGAGGGATGTGGTTATGGGCACGGGTGTGTGGGTTGGGGTTGGGGGGTCTTCGTCATCTCTTCCATGCTGAATGAATCTGTGATTGTAAGGTGTCACTTGGTCCTTCCACCTGCCCTTTGTGGAATTTGTGCCTTTGCCTTTTCCTACTGCACGCCTGTCTTTCCTTTCTTAATGTGAATTTGTCTCCTGCCCAGCACCAAGTTCAGCATCAGACTGTTCTGGGTGGGTTTTGTTTTTGCAGCAGCCTTTACATGTTATAAAGCTGCATCTGCTGACACCTCTTGTCTGCACCAGCACCGGTCTCCCAGGCTTTTGTTCGAGGCCATGCTCCCTGGGCTTTCTTGTGGCCTTGCTGGTCTTCTGTGGTCCATCTCAGCTGGCCCAAATCTTTTGAGGGAGTGAAGTGGCTCTTCAGAGGAGAACATCATAATTGCTTCATGTATCTTTACAAGCTGGAGGAAAGCAGAATAATTAAAGGCACTTCATATGTCTTTATAAGCTGTCCTTTCTCTCATCCTTCTGTACTTGCCTGACAGTGACGTGCTGGCTCATGCTCCATCTGTGCAGCCCTGTGACCCTTCTGGCAGCAGTGCTGTTGCCTTTTCTCCCCCAGCCCACATTGACGCTGTTGGTTTCTCCCATCAGCGATACCTGGCTGTGCCCATCCCCTCTGAGCCCTTGTTCCAGCCTGCCTGTTGAGTTCCAGCCCTGGTCTCCGAAGCACTGGGTGACGAGTGCAGATTTTAAAATGTACTCTGTTCTGTCATTTACATCACGCAGGGAAAAGCTGGACGGTGGCAGCAGCAGGGCAGACCTGCCTGAAGCCCTGTGCATCTCCTCTTAGTGTAAGCGAGACCCACAGCTGACCACTATTAGTGTGCACGAGCTCTGGGGCACAGGGACACATCAGCACAGTGGTGCTGCAGCTTCTGTGCTCTGTGGGGTTTCTGTAGCATCGCTGACCAGGCACTGGCGAAGGTGTGGATCCAGCTCATCTGGCTGGCGCGGGGACGCCGGCTGTGCATCTGCAACCGCAGCTTGGCGGGATCCGCCTGCTCAGGTTTCCATGGAGAGCGTCTTGTTGTTGGGGAGGGAGCAGCCTGGCAGACAGTACAGTCATGGAAATACCGATACAGCGTTTGTTTTCCAAGATGCATGAATAAAATCATTAACAGTTAGCAGTCTCACTTCCTCCGCTCACACCACCCGCCCTCGGCGGTCTGGCAGGACGACCCGGGATGCCCGCGGTGTCTTTATTCTCCAGGCTCCTCGCTCACACGCTCATCTTGGTACCCCCAGCTTGGCTGCATCTGCCCAAGCGAGCCGGGTCTCACTTCCAGTTGGCAGCCTCCATTTCCTACTGGCAGCCTCGACCACTCGCGGGAGCAGCAGCAGAAGAAGCCTTGGGCAGCTCACCCTGGGGACACTCAGCTGCCACGTCTCATGGGATGCAATGAACCTTCCTCAGAGGGAATGTCTCAGCTCAGATCTCTGTTACTGCACGTGCTTGGGAAGGCTGGTGAAGTTCCACGAGCAGAGTGGAGGCGGCCATGTGGGGCTCCTGCGTCCAACAGCACTGCTGGCGGCTGAGCCCTCGGTGGAAAGGGCTGAGTGCTGGTGTTCATGGCAGTCTGTCAATATTAAATTAAGGCTAAATTCCCATCCTAAATGTTATGTTAACATGAAGTTACAGCGGAGAGCGCAGAGCGCAGAACAGCAATATGAGGGTAAGATGTGTTCCGGGGGTATTGTAATCATCCCAAATGAGGCATTTGAAACCCAGGGAGTTCCAGATTTAGGGTTTGCATCGTTTCTGTTTTTGTAATTGAAAAACAATCCAAACATGGGAAGGCTTAGGAGCGTGTTGCTGAGATTGTTTGGGTGCCTTTATTCTGCGCTGCGGGGACATGGGCAGATGGAGGAAAAAGGTCTTTAAAAAATGATGGAACCAAATCTGGAATTACAAATGTGAAAATAGCGTGATCTGGATTTTATTGTTAGCGTGTTGTGGCTCTCCAAGGTAACATTAGGGTTGTTGGGTCTTGACTGTGCATTTCTGTATCAGGACATGTTTGGCTATTGCTAATGCAACTCACCTCTAATGCTTCACAAAGCTCATAATTTGAGACAATTGCAAATCCTGGAGCATAATTTTATTTGTGTTATGGATGTGTACTTGGAACTTTAATTCTGTCATAACAGACTTTTTTTCCCTGTTTTTTAAGAGCTGCTAAAGAAGCCACGAGTGAGGATTAGAATATCATAATAACTGAACTCCAGAGGGCTGTAGGAAGAAGCATGTTTCAGTTATGGACTCTTTGTCCTGGTGACCCACGGATCCACAAGGGTGGGAGGTGGGTGGTGAATTCAGCCCTGATTTTGCGATACCTGGTGCTGTGAGAACCCTCAGCTGAGACATCTGGGTCAAGCCGTGCCCAGGGCAATGCATGGCCATGGCTCTGGCAGAGCATGGAGTCAGGGAAGCCCCAGGGCTGCGGTGTGTGTGCTCCTGCAGGGGGAGAGCAATGGCTGGGCAGTGAAATGGCTCTTCTGGGAGTCACGGTTGCTATCAAAGCTGCCTGTAGCTTCCAGGCGTGCCAATGAGATATGACAGTCATTAATAATTTGGCTTCATCCTAACATGTGTCATCCAAAGGAACCTGGGCAGATGATGTAGGCTGGATATCTTGCCTTCCAGCAGCGCTGCACACAGCAGTGGAGTCTGAAGCAGCTCCAGAGCCCACGCAAGAACGCAGCGACTGCAGCGTGCTGTGGGGGCCCAGTCTCATTGCACCCTGCAGTGCTGCAAGGCAGAGTTCAGTGTTGTGCTGAAGCATTGCAGAGAATGTTGGATGAATGATGGCTTTTTTCTGGAGCTGGGGCAGTGACGGCAGCGCTGGCAGTGGTTCAGTAGCAGCAGAGCTCGGGGTGTCAGAACACCTCGCCTGCCTCCCTCTATGCTTCTTTTGCTCCTGTGTTGTGTTTCATAGGCTTCAGCCCCTGTTTTGGTGATAGAACACCAGTGTAGGTCTTCTGCCCAGGTCTTGGGTGTTGCAGTGGGCGCAGCCACTCCTTGCTGCTGAACCTCCCCCCCCCCTCCCCCATCTGGAACTGCTGCTGTCTGCAGGCTGTGGAGCACGTCTGCTTTCCCAGCCTTGCTGCTCAGGCAGAGTGGATGCAGCAACATGATTTTCTGGGTTGAGTGTTTCTTATTATGCCTGTCAGACACTGATTTCTGAGCCTGTTGTGTTCCCTGGGCATACCAGGAGGGCAGGCACAGCACAGGCCCATTTCCTTAATGACCGGCAGTGAATTGCCTGCACATGTGCAGTGCAGATTTGAGACGCCCTCCATGTATTTTTTTTTTTTCTCTGCGGATTTTCCCCGTTGGATGAGGTGTTCTCCATTTGTGGAGTCCCTGCCCAGCTGAGCCTTTAACAGAGCGTCTTCCTTCCATCTGCACACAGCCCTTATTTTGTGCTCCAATTATTCCAAGGCAGCTCCGCTCCCCTCCGAGCTTTGGAGAGATTTACCAGGTGGGCACCTGAGGATGTTCTGGGGCAAAATGGAGGTGCCCTGTCGCTGCTGCCATCCCTGTCAGGGTAAGGAGATGTGGCTGAGATAAGGCCAGCAGCCTCCGCTCCCCTCCCCACGCAGTGCCCTCAGCAGTGCACAGGCACCCGGTGAGGCCAGGATGTGGCCTCTCACCAATGCTGGGAGCTCATGGGTGAATGTGGCCTCGGTGTGCACATGGAAGGGAGCTGGGGGGAGGCGGGGAGGCCCTTACATAAGCCCTGCATGCAGCAGGAGGAGCGGGGAGGGGAAGGGCAGTGCGCTGAGAATCCAGGCAGCCTCCAGCGAGGGCTCCCCAGGAGCAGCTCTGTGCTGACTCCCTGGCCTTGGCCATCCACCCATTATCCGTGTCCCCCACTGCCCTGCCTGGGGTGACGTGGAGGGGCTGCAGGACTGAAGCAGTGGCATGGAGGGAATGTGGCCCTGGGGCACTCTGGCTGTCGCTGTCTTGCTCACCCTGCACTTTGCACTGTGGTGCTGGGAATCCCTTGGTGGCATGGATGGGCTCCATGTGTGCAGATGGGTGCCGTCTGTGTGTCTGCACGTGCTTGGGGCATATTTGCAGCTCCGTCTCCCGGAGCACCTTGGATGTTCCCCTGCATCTCAGCCATGGTTCTCACCTGGGGAGGTAAGCGCTGGCTCCTTCCCTAAAGCAGGACAGGGGCTTCTGAACAGGGGATTACTTTGTGTCCAGGTAAGATTGGGTGCCCACAGCTCTACCACCCTTTCCAAGATGTCTGCTGTTAATTCCCTCCATCTCTCCACAGCATCAGCAATCCCTGCCAAGTCGGACCATTTGAAGGGGGACCGCAGCAGGCAGCTTGCAGGCTCTGAGAAGCAGTGACAAGTCTCTCCGGGTCAGCGTCCCTGAGTCGCTGGGTTCTCCTGCCCCACGGATTTGGCTGTTCCTTCTGGACAAACCGGAGGCTTGCTGTCATGGGGATGCACTGAACCCTCACCCCAGGAGCTTCAGGCCTGGATGTTGGTGCTGCACCTCCCAGACGATGTGGCTGATACTCTGGAGAAGCCCTCTCTTGCCCCCTGTTCTCCAAGTGCCTGAGCTGGTGGCCAGCTGGGACCTGCGTCTCGCCCTCTGGGTCCTGAGCTTCGCCTCGGTGGTTGTGCGCATGGAGGGCCAGGTCTACTCTCCCACTGTCAACACTCACTATGGGAAGCTACGGGGGGTGCGTGTGCCACTACCCAGTGAGATTTTGGGACCCGTGGATCAGTACCTGGGGGTGCCTTACGCCGCCCCCCCAGTTGGGGAGAAGCGGTTCATGCCTCCAGAGCCACCTCCCTCCTGGTCAGGCATCAGGAACGCTACCCACTTCTCGCCAGTCTGCCCCCAGAACATCCACAACGCCGTCCCTGAGATCATGCTGCCCATCTGGTTTACCTCCAACTTGGATATTGTGGCCACCTACATCCAGGACCCCAACGAGGACTGTCTGTACCTCAACATCTACATCCCCACGGAGGATGGTGAGTCCCCGGTGGGGCACCTGCAGGAGCGAGCGCTCTGGGAGGGTAAGGGGGGCTGCCCTGCCCCTATCCCTGCCCAGCAGCGGTTGGTCTCACTTGGGTGTTGTGTTTGAAGCATGTGGTTGTGGACCCTGCAGCATGCTGTCTGTTTGTGGAAAGCTTCCTCTGGCCACTCAGCTTGCCCTCAGCTGCCATCTTTGTCTCGCGTGCTCCTGCCCCTCCACGCCTCTCGGTTTCCCCTTCTTTCTTCCTCCACCTCCATGGCATTGTCATGGGTTCCTTTCTTGTATTGCTAAATCTGAATCAGACTCTCTGACTGCAGATCCACAGAGCGACAAGCTGGTTTGTGCTCCCCAGGCGCCGAGTGCCAGGTTCTGTCTTGAGTTGGTTCGGGTTTGTCCTTCCTCCCTTTTCCCACCCCCAGGTCCATGTGCTAGCCGTGGCCACAGGCTGTGGCCGCTGCTGGGAGGAACACTCTGCCTCTCGTGGGGCTGGGCTGCTCATGCCAAGAAGGGAACACAGAGCCCTTTTTGGTGGCACAGGAGCCCTTTCTGGGGGATTCTGGTGCAGGCAGGAGGCTGGGGGACATTGCAAAGTAGCTGCGGCCTAGTGTGTCACGGCTAGGCCTAGTGCAGTGTGCTGCAGCCTAGTGCAGTGTGCTGAGGCCTAGCATAGTGTGCTGAGGCCTTGTGCAGTATGCTGAGGCCTAGTGCAGTGTATTGTGGCCTAGCATAGTGTGCCGAGGCCTAGCACAATGTGCCAAGGCCTAGCGCAGTGTGCCGAGGCCTAGCGCAGTGTGCCGAGGCCTAGC